TACTTTAACTCAGTATCTGTAAAATGAACCCATTTAAGACATATTTGGCAACTCAGTGTTTGCATCTCCACGGACATTTACCATCGGACCAGCAGAGTCTTTGTGAATGGATAATCGCCTCCTAAAAAATGATGTGAAATCCCGGACCATAAAATGGCTTTCATGCCCGTTATAAAACCTTAAAATGCTTGGCGAGGCATTCATATAATTGGTCATTAACCTCCATGAGCCCTCTGGAAGCACCATTGTCCTGCTAACTCCCACTAGTTTGGCCTAATAACAATATTTCATGTTGACATTGGCTAAATGCTCCACGTTCCGTACACAAAACACCGCCGTCTGCTTCTGTATTCATGACAAAAAGTAAGTAGGTTTTTCATCCTGATACAGAAAAATCACAATACATTATTTCTGTTATAAAATAACAAAGGTTCCCCAGGTACAAAACTGCCTTGAGTTATTCTGTACGAGTTAAACTTTGATGATTTTTTTTCTGTTTCTATTACATGTGAGATGTATCTTATTTTACTCCGACAACAGAAACTCTGCTGCGCCTCAGCCTCGTAACAAAACAAGTGGGTGGATGACTCCCCATCGCAGGGAATAAATCAAAGACACTGCGGCTCTCTGTAACGACGACACCACCCTCAGAAGTGATTCATAAGGCCGACTAGATTCTTTGACTACTTATTAGTGTTGTTGAAGCGCTGCAGTAACACTTAATCTGTGCAGCACAAGAAATGTGGAAGAAAAAAATAATAATGTGGACATCGTATGGAGTGGATCACTGATTGGCCAAACGTGTTTTATGTGAGCGTGACAGACGAACAAATGTTTAATACTTTAACTTAAGGGATTCTTTTGACACAGTGTTCTGTGTAAAAGTTATTAATATCTTACCTGTTCCAGGTAGCTCTGTAAGTGTTTATCAGGATTTAGTTTACTTTGTTTATTTCTGATGTTGATAGTTTCTGTAAATGTGTGAACACTTATGAAGCAGTCACACTATTGTGATCCTCTTTTCTTACGTACATATTTCGGCGCGACTCTCGTCCCGAAATTTTCAAGCTATTTCAACAAATCATATATCAAAATGTTCAGCTCGTTCAGGACAATCCTCCTGTGGCTTTTGGTACTGGTGCGACTTTAGCTTTTTGAAATATTTAGCCCTTTCTCCCACTTTTTTTTCTCATAGAAAATGACTTGAGCTCATTTTACATCCTTCAAATCTTTAGATCTGTTTACAACCTTTTACTGCTCCTTTCACATTTTGAACCAGTTCAGCTTTGTTCCTTGTGCAACTTTTTTTCAGATACTTTCAGCTAATTTCAGCTGTTTTTATAAGATGTGCTCCTTACAGATTATTTCTGCTAACTACAACATATTTGTGCTTCTTCTAACTTCTTTTTGTCCATTTAAGCTTGTTCTGCTCCGTTCAGCATATTTCTGCAAATTTCAACCTTTTCTGCTATTTCAGCTACTATTTAGCTGTTTTATGCTAATTTTACCCTACGGCTACTCCTGTGGTTTTTAAAATGTGCTATAGAAATAAAGTAGATGGATTGATTTAGTATTGCAGCTAATTCCACATTTGTTTCACAGATTTAACCTTTTTTCAGCCCAATTCAGAAAAAAAAATTTGCTCTCTCCAATTTGTTCTGTAATTTAAGCCTCTCTCTGCTTTTTAAGCTACCTTTCAGCTGTTTTTTAAATTATCTTTTCTAATAATATAATAAATATCAAATAAAATGGATCATTTCCACTTTTTGTGCTCATTTATGTTTCTTTCAGCATAATTGGACAAACATGTCTGCTTTCTTATGCTAATTTAGGCTTGCTCTACCTTTTCAGCCTTTTAAAAAAATTTTTTTTAGCATTTTTAGCTATTTTCAGATAAAGTCAAGTTTTTTGTGGTAATTTCTGCTACTTTCAGCCCAATTAACTTCTTTCTGCTAATTTCAGCTTGCTATGCTTCTTTCAGCTTTTGCTGCTATTTAAGGTACTATTTATTTTATTTTATTTTTCATTAACCTTTATTTAACCAGGCAAATCCCCCTGAGATCACAGACTTCTTTTACAAGGGAGGCCTGAGCCTGAAGGCAGACTAACATGCATGTTTTTGATCTATGGGAGGAAACTGCAGTATCTGGAGAAAACCCACGCAAGCATGAGAAGAACATGCAAACTCCACACAGAAAGAGCCCAGGTCCAACCCAGGATTGAATCTAGGACCTTCTTGCTGTGAGGCAACAGTGCTAACCACTGAGCCATCGTGCTGCCATTTAGCTGTTTTTGTGCCAAATTTAGCTTTGTCAGCTAATTCCACATATTTTTGCCCATTTCAGCTCGTTCCACTTCTTTCTGGTAGTTTCAGCTCCTTCCTGCCTTTTCAGCTACATTTCAGCTATTATTTTGTTGTTGCTAATTTCAGCTTTTTTTAGCTTATTTCCTAATTTGTGTGCTCATCTCTACTTATTTAAACCTAAAAACAAAAAAAAGTCCATTCTCAATAATCTTGGTATACAATCCAACAATTTTCCATCAGGTCATCTGGACAGTTTCTTTTTTTTTTTCCCTGAAAAGTTTCACCTTCCATCCAGAAGGCTTCATCAGTCAAGGAAACACAACACAAAACTGATTCTTCCCCCCAACAGCTTACTCCAAAGTGGAACAAACCAGTTATGTTGGTTCTAAGATGGTGTCTTTGGCACGCCCCCTCCTCTGGTGCCGGCCCTCTCCCTCGTCGACAGTCATGTTAAACTGGTTCAAAATCAAAAAAGTCCATGCTCAATAATCCAGGTATACAATCCAACAATTTTCAGTCATGTCATCTGGACATCATTTATTTAAACCTAATTCAGCAAATATGTGTTCTTTCTGCTTTCTTCTCCTAACTTGGACTTGTTCTTCCATTTCAGCATTTTTTTTTAGCTAATTTCAGCTGTTTTTTAGCAATAAGCATCCACACTGTATTTTCACAGGAAATGCAATTCCTCTAGTTTTCATTGTGTCCAGTTTGTTGCTTGTCTCCCTGTATTTTCAACCATTATAATTCTATTTCCTCAGTTCTATTCTGCTCCAGCTCCACCCACTCGCATCTGCTCCCAGTCTTCATCCAGACCAGGTGTGTCCACTTCCTCATCAGCCCCTCTCTTTATCTTCTACCTGTTCTCATTCATTAATAAGTCAAGCCTGTTTTGTTCTTGTGCCTCCTTGTGCTGCTCCTAGACTTATATATGTTTTTGCTGCCCTTTGTTTTTGCGTATAAAATAAAAGTTAAGTTTTATTTTGCAAGCTCCTTGTATCACATCTGCATCCTTGGCTCCACGACAAGCTCTTTCAGCCACCTTGGTTTGAAGAAATTAGTTTTAATTTTTCAAGACTGTTTTTATGATTTATAAATAAACGTATTTATTGTTAACCATTTGAATTAGATGGGTTGATTCTTTAAGCATTTGTAGTTTAGTGATCTGTCACTTACAAATTACCTTAAATAAGAAATAGTTTTGTGAGAGCCTGCTCCCAACTGAAGACCTTTTTATCACCGGAAGGCAGCTGATGTCTGTGCGCACGTGTATAATCACGCGTGTTCGTTTGTCTGTCTGTTAGTAAAATATCTCAAGAATTGAACAGGGCTGACTCCCAAAGTTAATCAGTTGTAGACGTCAACACAATTATTGGTTGATCAATATTTTTTGCTAAAAGCCAAAAACAGGTTGGCGCCAACAGTTGATGTTGAATTTTTCAACACAGATCTTGTGTAATGAGTCTGTGCTTGGGATATGTGCTGTGATTGACTCTCAGCTACTACTATTTTTTTATTTAGAAAATATTGGTAAATTGACTGAATCATATCCGCTTTCTTTTGTTTTCTAAGACTACTTGGATGTGGCAGCCATCTTGAATCTAATCAGTCATCGATGTATACCCAGTTAATACATTTTGAGTGTTTCATTAAAATCCATCTGTTGGTTTATGAGATATTGAAAAGCAAGAACATCACATACGGCACATTATCCACCTGTTAAACTTATACAGCAATCTATAGCAATGACCTAGACAAACAAAAACCTTGCATAATGTTTGACCTTGATTTGCGACTTTGAGCTTGAAGCGTGGATACTGAGAACAGTGTATAACGCTCTGTCTAGTGATGATGCATACGTGTATCAAGTTTCATTACATCATCTTGAGCAGATCAGAAGTTATACGTGCCGGACAAGAGAAAGTTTACGGACTGTGCCACAATAATACCCGCCTTCTACGGGCGAATAATCATTGTTCACTTTTGCTGTTTAGTGCTGCGTGATAAATCCACTGAACACCGTGATTAAAAAAAATCTGAACAATCTTTTATATCTGAAGAACAATCAAGTGACTAATAAACACCAAACTCTGCTGAAATTCAGCTGAGTCACCAATGATTATCATCAATATAGCTGAAGGTTTCAGTTGGTACAAAAGAGCTGACTGTAAAGAAGACGTCAGAAGCCACATGTCTACAGTTAGTTTCAAAGAAAAGAAAAAGATGATTAACAGGCTTTAATTGTCACGTAATATTTTCGTGAACCTTTTTTTCTTCTGATGTCTAAGAAGAAAGTATCTGCCCTTCAAACGCAGCCTTCAGAAGTCCTGATCCATTTCCGTAGGGCCAAACTTTTATTTCTTTATTAGAAATAAAAATACAGGCAGCGTGACATAACGTGCAGACGAGATAGATCATCAAAAAATTGAAGGTGACACTCACAATTGGCTGGTATTAGGATAAGATTGTTCTTATTCTCTAGAGGGGGAGGGGAGTTAAAGGTAGATTACTTCTATAGGAGACAATTTTAGTTGTAAATCCCCCCCCATTACTTCTCCCTTCTATGAATAAGCTGTCCTTGACAAGCCAACTCTGGGACCACATCCTCGTTCCCCTCACTGCTGACCAGTTTTGGCAGAAACGTTGATTTGTGGAGACGATACAAAAAAAAAAAAAAAAAAAAGCACTAGTGTACCTTTTGTCTCTTCCGGAGAGTGAAGTTCTTCCACAGGAGCAGTGAAAACTGCGTCAGGAGACCCATTATGGCTTATCCTGGCAATATCCAGCCAAAAGCGTCGCTATGGCAACCGGCCCACTTAATAAACCCTGGAGGGAATAAAAGGCAGAGTTTGGTTTTAATACAGAGGAGCAATGCATCTTGGGGGAATGCCACTAATCATTCTCTTCCCTAGGCTTTGGCGAGGTGGGGGTAGAGGTGGTGGTGGTGGTGGTGGGGGGGGGGGGGGGGGGGGGTGCAGCACCTGTTCGAAGAATTATTATCACCTGAGCCCAGGAGATCTCAGGACGGGCCACGTCTCAGCCTGTGGAGATCACACCATGTGGTTCTACAGTGGCAGGTTTTTTAATCAAACATGTAGATGTTATAATGAACGATACATTTTTCTTTTAGAAAATGCACCCTTTACCACCTTATTCACTAAATTCACTCTCACTACTCAGGTTATTACAGGCTTGCAAACAGGGATATGTCACTCTTTCTTGAGCAATGATCCAAATAAGCAAAAAATAAAATCTACTCCTTTTTTATGGTCAGTAAATGTACCATGGCTAAGCTGCTATTTGAATTTTGGGGTGCATTTGTTAGTCTGAATGTTAGCAAAATAACTCCTGAACCGGTAGACAGACTCATATGAAACTTTGAAGGGAAAAAACAAAAACATTTAAGATGATCGCCACGGTGAGACAAACACAGAAATGGCTACAACTCATCCACTTTCATTGATACAGAGCTAAGATTTGTTGTGGTCGCTGAGAGTAGTTTGCAACACATACTCTGAGCTCCACGCTTTGTGCAACACCTTTCCTCAAACTTTGCCATTAACTGAGGGTATGCTAACAAAATACTTCACAAACTATTGAACCTATTTTATTGAAACTCTCAGAAGGAACCCGTCAGGTCCTCTGGACAGTTTCTTTTTTGGTACAAATGTTTAGTCCTTTATCCAAAGGACTTCATCAGTGGCAAGGGTGGGCTCCAGAAACCATATTATCACCATCAAACTGGTTGTCCCCGTGGTGTAGTCTACGTGATACTCGGGTATACAGAGTATACTCACTAGAAAAGCTTAAAAAATTCAGTATAACCACTTAAAAGTGCCCAATGACACATGACATATCATTAGGCACACGTCATTGATACGTTAAATGGCAGTTAAACTCTTCTGTAACAATCTATCGGTATGCAGTACTTTGCTTTGATACTGTTTTATAAATTATATAACATGTTTTTAATACAAAGCCAACTCTTGTACAAAGTTTGTTGTTCATGTATTCAAATAAAAGCATCAGAGAAATTTGGAAATGTTCAATATGCTTAAAAATCAAAATAAATTGACGATTACATTGTACTAACCAGTGTACTTTGGTTTCTAAGCACAGTATACCCACTACAAAACTGTAGACTACACCACTGAGTTGGCCCACTATCTGAGTATGCTGCTTGTGGGACTGAGTTTGTTGTGACTCTTCGGACTGATGAAGTCCTTGGGATGAAGGACGAAATGTTTCCACAATAAAAAAGAAACCGTCCAGAGGACTTGATTTAACTTTGTTGGATTTTTTTTTACCTGGATTATTGAGCATGAACTTTGTTCTCAGAAGAAACGATTTGACATTCGCTCTTTTGGAGTCACCCAAATTCAAGATGGCTGCCACAAGTAATTCGACTTAGCCTACACAAATATGGTTCTAACACAATTAATTTTACAGATGATGCCTTAAAATTTGACTCAGCTTGTAACATTTTTTTTCAAGGTTGATCCAGGTTGACTTCAATTTCCTCATTTCTTTCCTTAAAGATGATCTTAGACTCTTAAACCCTGGTCTGAAAAGTTGCAGGCGATGGGCATTATTTCAAGGAATTCCAGGCCTTTAGTTCCTTAACTGCTGTTGTCTAACTTATACAGTATTTCTGACATTTACCAGAGCCTGGGGAGGAACAAAACCCCATTCTGCTTCTTCAGAGTACCTTTACTTGTAATGTTTATTACCACCTTGAGTCTTCAGTCCATGCACTGCTTTCTCCTTCTTTTAAAGGAGTTAGCTATGGAGTCGTACAAGGTGGAAGCGGCCCGGGTCATTAAACCAAGCCTTAGTACATGCATGAACACCCGACTCCATCAAACTCCTGTATAATTTGAGTGTGAGCCGCATTCGCCTTGTACAGCTTTCAGGCCTCGTCTTTTTGAAACGTGTACCGCGCAGGAAGGAAACAGCTCGGTACCACCTCCACTCTGAAATCACGTCAAGCATGAAGGGTAAACAACATCTCCAAGAAAATTCTGGAGCCATGTGTCAAAAAATGTGTGTGTGCATGTGTCAGTTGCACTGATATCTGCAAAAGGAGATTTGTCTCCAACTTATGATGTGTGCGTGGGTGACAGCTGAGGGAAAAGACCGACTCAAGGTCTTTTTTGTTTCTCCTTTTCCTCCCTGAAATGTACATTTAAAAATCAGATGAGTAACAAGAAGTGGTATTATTCTCTTTGTAGTTTCTGCACAGGAAAAAAAAACACAGTGAACAAACTAATAAAAGAACAAAAAAGGAACATGATGAAGTGATTTCTCAACATTTTACATCTGCAGTGCCTTAAATCGTATTTGTACCCTTTGAACAATTCCACATTTTGTCACGTTACAACTCCTAATGCCTTATGTTAGGATTTTATTAGATAGATTAACAGTTTAAAGTAAAAAAATGAGAAAATGGTTTTCAATTTTTTATGTGGCGATTATCTGTTTTCAGCCCGTTTTACTCTTAACCTTAAAATAAAATACTGAGCAACCATCTACCTTCAGAAGTCACTTAATTAGTAAAGAATATAAGTTAAAAGGAACCAAATAGAAGCTATAAGGAGCCGAATAAAAGCTAAAGGGATTACCTGCTCAGTCTCTAAAGATGCTCTTGAGCAGATCAACGGAGGAAAAGGAGCCAAATAGAAGCTAAAAGTAGCTGAATAGAAGCTAAAGGGAGACAAATGGAAGCTAAAAGGAGCTGAATAGAAGCTAAAGAGAGCTGAGTAGAAGCTAAAGACAGCCGAATAGAAGCTAAAGGGAGGTGAGTAGAATGTAAGAAAGCCGAATAGGAGCTGGAGAGCGGAATAGAAGTTAAAGGGAGCTGAATAGACTGTACTGTACTTTATACAGTATGTTATCTGTATGTTACATCAAACAGGTCTCCTGACAACGAGTCCTCGTGACTCAGTGAGACTAACCTATATAAATAAAGGTTGAATAAAGAAAGTCCACCTGTTTGTGATTTAATCTCAGTATAAATATTTATAAAAGCTTCAGACCTTTATGACAAAAATCATCATGAAGATCAAGGAAAACAAAACAAGAATAAACTTGTTGTCAGGTTTAAAACAAGGTCAGGTTATAAAACAATAACCCAAACTTTAAATATCTTACAGAGCACTGTTCAATTAATTGTCTGAAAATAGAAAGAGTACAACAAACTGCAAACCTACCAATGCAGAGTTCATGTTTTACTTCCTTTTCCCAACTCCAAAACACACTTGTCACTGATTGGATTACCTCTTCATGTTCTGAAGCCTTTTAATCAGCCATTGATTCAAATCAGATGTTGGAGCAGAGAAGCACCGAACACTTGCAGGTTAGTGGCCGTCAACAACAAGGATCGGACACCCTTCTAACAAGATGATGCTGTTCACCTAAACACAGAAGTATTAATCCAGAAGTAACCCAGGAGGACAATGGTAATTCTTGAGGAGCTACAGAGATCTAAAGCTCAGGTGTCTGTCAACAAGACAACTTTTAGTCATGCACACCTCAAATCTGGCATTTATTGAAGAAGGCCTGTTCACAGGTTGACACAGGATTTTTAGGGGACACAGCGGACATGTGGACAAAGGTACTCTATCTAGGCAGATGAGACCAAAATTAAAAACTTTATGTGTGGCTGAAAACTAACCCTTCAGCCTGAATACATCATCCTCATTGTGAAACACGGTAGCAGCATCATGCTGAGGGCATGTCTTTGATCAGTAGGGACAGGGAAACTGGTCTGAGCTGACTGTAAGAATAAAGCTAAGAGAGGAATTTAAGTTTACTTTATGGTTAAACTTTATTTAACATTTAATCTTTAGGTAAATCCTACTGGGATCACAGATCTTTTACATCGGAGGCCGGGACCTGAAAGCGGTCTAAACATGCATGCTTTTGGACTCTGGGAGGAAACCAAAGTAACCAGAGAAAACCCAAGGCCCAATCCAGGGCTTAAATCCAGGATGTTTGTGCTGGGAGTCAACGGTGCTAACCACTAATCCACCATGCAGCCCAAGGTTAATTTTTCAGCAGGACAACGACTCAAAACATCCAACCTCAGTTACAATAGAAATGTTCGGACCAAAGAATATCCATGAATTAGAAAGGTCGAGTTGCCGATAAAACCAAAGGGATGTTTTTTTCAAACAGGAAGCAGTTCTTCCTCCGATTTTATCCTCAAATGGTGTCCCCATTGAGTTTGTTGATTCCTATAAATATTTGGGTATCTTGGTCGACTCACATCTCTCTTTTAAGCTCCATGTGGAAAACCTAGTAAAGAAACTGAAAATTAAACTGGGTTTCTTTTTCAGAAATAGATCCTGTCTAACTCTGAATGCGAGGAAACACCTTGCAACTGTGACTTTCCTTCCCTCCATTGATTATGGTGACATTATTTAAATGAACGCTCCTACAAGCACCCTGCAGATGTTGGATGCTGTCTATCATGGTGCACTAAGATTCATAACTGGCTGTGATTATCGTACCCACCACTGCACCCTGTATTCACTGGTTAACTGGACATCATTAACCTCACGCAGACTCTTCCACTGGTACATTTTCATCTTTAAATCATTTCTTGGTCTGCTGCATACATACATCTCCTCCTACGTCTCTGTGTGAGTGCAGCTACAGCGTGCACTCTCAGGATATTAGCTGCAGTGTTCCCTCAGTAAGGACTGAACTAGGCAAAAGGACCTTCTCCTACTCCGCTCCTGTTTCTTGGAATATCTTACA